TTTTTAAATTAAGACAGGGTTTCACCATGTTGGTCAGGCTGGTCTTGAACTCCCAATCTCAGGTGATCTGCCTGCCAATCCTCAAAAGTGCTTGGATTACAGGTGTGAGCCACCATGCCCGGCTCAAATGGTAGTTTTAATACAAGTGTTGGGATTACAGGTGTGAACCTCTGTGCCTGGCCTATACTTATAAAGTCTTTGAAAAAATGAAGTTTGGTTTATTTTTAATCTTTTAAAACAAAAGATTAAAAATATGTAAAGGGGGACTCTATTAGCACAAACAATTATGACTATCATCAATAAAAAGAATAGGTGAGTTTTTGGACTGCTAACCTACTTATAAGATATGCCAACGATGCAGATTCCTTATAAAAATTGTGTAGGGATTGTTTGGAAATGTGCTATTACAAAGTAGAAAGATCAGAACAAATTCTGATCTGACTTGATTCTCAATTCATATCACACACACAGAGATATACAGACACACAACACTTTTGTGGTGAACCATGGAGTTATCCAAAGATCAATCTAAGACTACAATAGGCTCATATGTGTTAAAAATTGGGTATAGAGAAGAGGGAATAGGAGGATCTATTCAATCCATACTATACTTTAGATTGGCTTATTTTAGTTCTTCAAAGGCTTTTAGGAAAAGTTAGCTTTAAAGACCAGAAAATACACTTTTAATTGCTGATAGGAACATAATTTATAGCAACAAACAGAAAACAAAACAAAATAGAAAAGTATCACCTAAGAGCTCTCTGAGAAAACCAAACTACTACTACAAGACTTGAGCAGAGTCTTTGGGAAGTACCTGAGGTGCCGGACAATATGCTCCCATTCCCCCTGTGTTAGGGCCGCCATCTCCCTCCAGTAATCGCTTATGGTCCTGTGCTGGGGGCATGGGGGCCACAGTCTTACCATCAGTGAAACATAGACACTATAAAGAAAACAAAATAGTCCACTTATGTTAAATGCCAAAAAGTAAAAAAATAATTTATTAAGGCAAACTCTATGTCCCTTAACTCTTCTTTGAGGAAAAGCTTGCTTTTTTTTTTTTTTTTAAGAGAAAAATGAACTGAAACATCAATAATGTTAAGCTACATACATCAAGAATCATAACATACTCAACTTCTGAAGGATTTGTGATTTTTGAGATAAGTTAGGGAAAAACCAAGCAATTCTCAAGGTAAGACTTTAACCTTTCCTTCACTTTAAGCTTCCAGGCATTAAAGCTTGATTTAGGCTGGGTGCGGTGGCTCATGCCTGTAATCCCAGCACTTTGGAAGGTCGAGGCAGGCAGATCACAAGGTCAGGAGTTCAAGACCAGCCCGCCCAACATAGTGAAACCCCGTCTCTACCAAAAATACAAAAATTAGCTGGGCATGGTGGGAGGTGCCTGTAATCCCAGCTACCTGGGAGGCTGAGGCAGGAGAATTGCTTGAAGCCAGGAGTTGGAGGCTGCAGTGAGCCGAGATAGCACCACTGTATTCCAGCCTGGGTGACACATCCACTCTGTCTCAAAACAAACAAAAACAAAAACAAAAAAAGCCGAACTTGATTTAAGATGACTTTACTTCACTATTTATTATGCAACAAACTTTATGTGAAAGAAAAAGCATGAATGTTTGAATTAATCCAGAACCTCAATAGTGTGTGATGTAAGTTCAAGTGCCCCCACTAATACACTAGGGATGACTAACAGAGGATCATTTTTTTTTTCATTTGTACCCTAATAATAAAAGTATACAGATTCCTTTGTAACTGCTGGGTTTATGTTTTTAGATGAAGCAACCAGAGTATATCCAGTCTTTTCTGGGGTACGTAGATGAGATGACAGCTTTTTCTTTTCTTTTTTTTTTTAAATCACTGGCTGAAGGCAAGTAAGATGACACCTTTTATTTTTGAGAGGGAGTCTCACTCTGTCGCCCAGGCTGGTGTGCAGTGGCATGATCTCAGCTCACTGCAACCTCCGCCTCCCGGGTTCAAGCTATTCTCCTGCCTCAGCTTCCCGAGTAGCTGGGATTACAGGCATGAGCCACCATGCCTGGGTAATTTTTGTATTTTTAGTACAGACAGGGTTTCACCATCTTGGTCAGGCTGGTCTTGAACTCCTGACCTTGTGATCCACCCACTCTGGCCTCCCAAAGTGTTGGGATTACAGGCGTGAGACACCGAGCCCAGTTAGATAACAGCTTCTTATAATGCTATAAATGCCAAAAAGATGAATATACATACAGACACCTCTTCTCCGTCAAGAAGTTCTTCAATGACAATTGTTTCTCCAGCTACCCCAAAGGCCTTCTCCTAATTGTAAGTTAAAAAAAAAAAAGGGTTCCGTAAGCTTTTGATATTTACTTAGTTGACTTATAACATTATCCAGCATTTGTATTATGAACCAGTGAGTATTGCAATTTCTCTTTTTTTTCAGAAAGACTCAAAAGGAACATATAAATGTTTCCTATTTTTAATGTGGCAACAGTATAGCTAACACTGGTACAGATGGAATGAACACATCTCTAATATTCTCCTGAGGATTTGGTGATCCAGTTTCAAATAAGGTATGGGAAAAGCAGATTTTTTCATTATCACCACTTAATCCTTACTTCCAATTATAATTACATGTTTTAATAACTATATTAAAGCATGCCTGTGAAAGTAGATTTCTACAAGGACAGAAAACCCACAGCAAGGATTGATCATGAAAGACAAAGCAAATTCATTCATTTACTTCTCCTAGACCTGGGACACGAGGGACAAATACTTTTGCCCTCACGGATGGCTTGATTATTTATTTATATATTCTATAGCCTGAGGTTTTTCTATCTTTCAGTGGCAGACAACAAAGGATATTAGAATTTACTTCAAAAGAATACCATCATGGTTTAGTTATCAGTGTAAATCCCTAATAACTATTTTATAGAAATGGATTACAATATATGGAATTATAAAAAATAACTTACCCATGTGTCTGCAAAATAGGTTTTCTTTATTGTGAGGAACAATTTTTTTTTTTTAGATGGAGTTTTGCTCTTGTTGCCCAGGCCGGAATGCAGTGGTGTGATCTCGGCTCACTGCAACCTCTGCCTCCTGGGTTCAAGTGATTCTCCTGCCTCAGCCTCCTGAGTAGCTGGGATTACAGGCATGCACCAGCACACGCAGCTAATTTTGTATTTTTAGTAGAGACGGGGTTTTACCATGTTGGTCATGCTGGTCTCTAACTCCCGACCTCCAGTGATCTGCCTGCCTTGGCCTCCCAAAATGCTAGGATTACAGGCATGAGCCACGGCACCCAGCAGTGAGGAACATTTTTTAAACTTAAAAAAGGGTATTTATTCAGTATGAATAGAAAAGTAAATTTTTTCAGAAGACTTGGCCTACCTGCATGATCTCCTGTACAGCTTTGCAGGCCTCTTCTTTGGTCTTTGCAACAATCACCCCTTTTCCAGCCGCAAGGCCACTGGCCTTCACAACCAAAGCAGGGAAATCTGCACTATGAAGACAGAGCAATCTTCAATATCCAATAAACCAACACAACTTAAAATTTTAAAATGCTGTGGGATTTTGTAATGACATGCTATAATAAAAACTGAAGAGCAGAATGAAAAAAATAACTTATCATTCCAACACTATTTTGACATACTTCCCACCAGGATTTTTTCCCCCTATATATTCTTTTATAGTTGCTATCATATAGTACCTATAATTTTGCTTTTTTCATTTATCATGAGATTACATAGGCAATATCTTTGGAAGAATAAACAGATGTATAAAGTAAATATGGTAAAATCTCTAAGATACAAAGTAGCAAACAGTACCCTCATTTCAGCGGGTGTATAACAACAGCATAGATCATTTCTGTAAGTACACATTAGAAATTATCAAGTCGGCCTGGGGATCTGGAAGGAGACTTACCCAAAGTAAGTAACAAAACTGTTACTTACCCAAGGCATCTGGCTACTAGGAAATAATAATATTCAGTGTTTAAGAAACCCTGTAGGATGGAGAATGAATAAAAAATGAAACTGACCCAACTGAAAGGAAAACATATCAGGTACCAGAAGTGTCAACAAAAAAAGGGCAAAGGCATGAGTCTACTAACACTCATTAATTGCTCAATGCTTTCCATATAATAAAGAACAAAGGATACTTAATCTTGAAATTTAAAATTGCAATAGTGGTGGCAGATGACCAAGTGATGATGCTCACTGTGGCAAATTATTGATCATAAAAAAATCAATATTCTTTATTTCGTAAGATGCCAACGTGTTTGTCAATCTGGCTGCGAGACTTAGTGCTATGGCTCATGCCTGTAATCCCAGCACTTTGGGAGGCAGAGGTAGGTGGATCTCTTGAGCTGAAGAGTTTGAGGCCAGCCTGGGCAACATGGTAAAACCCTGTCTCTACAAAAAATACAAAAACTAGCTAGGCATGGTGGTGTGTGCCTGTTGTCCTGGCTACTTGGGAGACTGAGGTGGGAGGATAGCTTGAGTCCAGGAGGCAGAGGTTGCAGTGAGCCAAGATCCCACCACTGCACTTCACCTGGATGACAGAGACAGACCCTGTCTCGGTGGGGGGAACCCGAAAAACCAAAAGAATGGCTGTGAAAAGAGCGCAAACTGCAGAACCAAGTGTATTCTTCCCCGAGGAACCAAGCAGATTTTATTAAAAATGTCATCTTCCCGCAAGGCCACAAGATCATATAAACTCTATATGCAAAGAATCCCATTTTATTTTAGATCTGGAAAAAGACAACCCACATATTTATTCAGAAATTTTTTTTTTTTTTTTTTTTTTGAGATGGAGTCTTGCTCTGTCTCCAGGCTGGAGTGCAGTGGGACGATCTCAGCTCACTGCAATCTCCACCTCCTGGGTTCAAGTCATTCTCCTGCCTCAGCCTCCTGAGTAGCTGGGACTATAGGCGCGCACCACCATGCCCAGATAATTTTTGTGTTTTAGTAGAGACGAGGTTTCACCATATTGGCCAGGATCTCTTGACGTTGTGATCCACCCGCCTCAGCCTCCCAAAGTGTTGGGATTACAGGTGTGAGCCATCGCACCTGGCGGAAAACGTTTTTTCTCTAATTATCTTACTATAATCTTGCAACGGCCTAAGGACCTAGCATTGCATTTTCAACATGGAAGTCTCCCATATATATATTTATTTAATTTTTTTGAGACAGGGTCTCACTCTGTCACTTAGGCTGCAGTGCAGTGGCACGATCTCGGCTCAGTGCAGCCTCTCCCTCCTGGGTTCAACTGATCCTCCCACCTTGGTCTTTAGAGTAGCTAGGACTACAGATGCACACCACCATGCCTGACTATTTTTTTTTTTGGTATTTTTTGTAGAGACAGGGTTTCACCATGTTACCCAGGGTGGTCTCTAATAATTCAAGCGATTCACCTGCCTTGGCCTCCCAAAGTGCTGGGATTCCAGGTGACTCACCACATCTGGCCATTGACCTGTATATTTAAATACCACAACAAAACAACGGTCCTTCATAGGCAGCCATCTACCTACCTCATAATGAAGCTGCAGGCCTCTTCAGGTTTTGTGAAAGCCTTCCACTGTGCAGTTGGGATTCCATGTCTGTCCATAAAATCTTTGGCAAACCTTTTGCTGGACTCTAACTGAGCCGCTTCTGCTGTTGGTCCAAAGCATCGCACTCCTGCAGACATCAGGTTCCCAACAATCCCTATTGATGAAAACAGTAGTATCACGTGAACAAAGGTCTCCCCAGGGGCTTTTCAGCTTGAAGATGAATTAGTATCAGACTATATTGATAATTAGACAAGGCCAATGACTGGTGGCAGAAGATAACTAACTTTTTCATGTTGTCTGCTGGATAGAAATAAAATGCTACTAACATGTTATTCAAGTCTATCAAAAGTTGTTACATTTGCATATATAGATTATTAAACAGACACCAGAATAAAGACATACAAAATGTTTTCCATGGCTGCAAATTTGATCTCTAACTCATCATATAACTGATGCTTGGTAAAAAAATAATCTAGACTCTATAAATTTTGAGAGTGAAGGCCTTTTTCCAATGTAATATTACAAATTCTCATTTGTAAAATGAATTGGATTAGATGATCCCTAAGCTCCTTTTGGCATTGAATATACTGTAACAATACATAGAAATGAATTTTACCAGCAGCCAGAGGTGCTTCTGGTCCAACAACTACAAATTCAATTTTCTCATCTTTGCAGAATTGAGCAAGGGCAGTGTGGTCACTGATCGAGACAGCTGTAAACAGAAAAAACAAACACACTACATTTACAATGCTGCTGAAATAAACTAAGTGTCTCACTCAAAACTAAGTACTATACTTCAGTATGCTTGTTATCTGTTGGTTTTCTTACATTGGTAGAGGTGACAGTTTCAACATGTGAAATTCAGAAGAGAGTGCATTAAGCTAACCAACAAAGCAGTTCTCTGTTTTCATTGTAGACAGTTAGATGAAAATACCAATAAACTTCCCAAACAGCCATAAAGTACCATCTGGTTCATGATATTGTTCATGTCACTAATATTGATCATATATTAAAACAAAAAACATACCATAAGATATACTCAGAAACTGGTCTTTTAATGTCATTCATTCAATTGTACTGAAAATCCACTATGTGCTAGGTACTGTCCTTAGCACGGGTATTAAGATGTTAACACAAGCCAGGTACTTATACATAGTATGTTTACAATATGCTGTAGGAATGCTGGGTAATAAATATACAAACAAAAAAATAGCAAATAGAAACAAATTAAGTGAATTTGATATAAAGTGAATTGAGAGGCTATTTCTGCTTGAGTCAGGAGGGAGCTCTTTGGGGCAGAATTGTTTAAGCTAAGAACTGAATGATGCTTTCAAGAGGAACCTCTCTTCTCCAACCTAAAAGTCAGGTAAATTTTCTTCTGGGAAGTTCTAAGTAACTAGCAGTAGAATCAACCACATACTGAACATGGTTTGACTATACAGGCACTCTCCTGCTTCACTGTATCTGGACCACCATTCCGAAATCAGCCCAAGTCTGAAATCACTCTGCCATTGGTACAGGGTGTAAGAAGTGGTATTTGTGATGCACAGTTGTCCCTCCTTATCTTTGGAAGACACATTCTAACACCTCTAGCCGATGCCTGAAACTACAGTGCTGAATCCTATATATATTAGGCTTTTTCCTATACATAAATACCTATGATAAAGTTTAATTTACAAATTAGGCACAGTAAGAGATTATCACTAATACTAAAATAGAACAATTATAACTATATGCCAGCATCAGCTTTGGGGCCATTATTAAGTAACACCACCTAAGCACATGTACTGATAACATGGCTACTAGGTAACAACATAGATATGCTGGACAAAAAGATTCACATTTCAGGTTGGAGAGCACAAAATTTCATCATGCTATACTAGATTGCCTTGCAATGTAAAATGTATGAGTTGTTTCTGAAATTTTCCATTTAATATTTTTGGATTACAGCTGACTGTGGGTAACTGAAACTGTGGGTAAGCCGGTGACTACTGTATAGGGTCCAAGTCCAGAAAAGGTTAGGTTCCTCAATCTGTAGCAACTGCCTGAATGTGATTAGGATGGAGTACCATGCACTTTGGGTTAGTGGCTCCCAATACAACTAGCTGAGCAGGGTCAACTAAATCAGTATATCAGAGGGCAACAAGAGGAAGAGGTCTCTTTAATAGTCTTCACCACTACTTGTAGTGGTCTCATGACAATCTGAAGAGATTTTGATGGACTTGCCTGGATGACCTTAATTGTACAGACTGTCCCAGTCTCTAACAAACAGATATACCTCACCCCCAGAACTAAGATCCAAGAAAAAGAGGTATTTTCTTTTCTTTTTCTTTTTTTCTTTTTTTTTTTTTTAAAACGGAGTCTTGCTCTGTTGCCAAGCTGGAGTCCAGTGGTGCAATCTCGGCTTACTGCAACCTCAGCCGCTGGCGTTCAAGTGAATCCTTTGCCTCAGACTCTTCAGTAGCTGGGACTATAGGCAGGTGCCACTACACCTGGCTAATTCATTGCATTTTCGTGGAGATGGGATTTCACCATGTTGGCCAGATGGCCTCATCTCCTGACCTCATGATCCACCCACCTCAGCCTCTCAAAGTGCTGGGATTACAGGCGTGAGCCACTGTGCCCAGCCTAAGGAGGTATTTTCTAATTTGCCTTTTTCTTATTCTTTTTGGTTGTATATAGATGCCATTATCTTCTCCCAGTTTGTGGTTTGTTGGGTCCATGCTCTTCTTTCCATAGATATCACATGCCACATAGGCAACCAGGCACTGTGCACACCATGCAAAACAAGACAGACAAGTTCCTTTCCCTCATGGAGCTTACACTGTAGGTTATATTCTAGTGGGGGAAAAGAACATAGGAGAGACACAATAGCAAAGTAAAAATAAACACATTCATGATCATAAACAAATGAAATGCAGATGGACACTTGCTTTTAGTAAGAAACTATAGGAAAGACATAATTAAGGAGGCCAATATATAAGTGGAGTTCTGAATGATGAGGAGACAGTCACGGTAAGGGGTGGGAACAAATACAAAGTCCAAGGCAGCAAGCTTCTGCTTGGGAAATTGGTAGAACAGCATGGATGGGGTATACTGAAAAGAGAGAAAGAGATATATAAGATCAGGATGGAAGGGCAGCCAGAAGACAGGCTGCATACTGAGGAGTTTCTGAAGCTGCTGACGAGCTTTATGCAGTATATGAACTGACCATTTTTTCGTTTTTGCCAATTAAGAGACAAGGGTGGAGGCTGGGCACGGTGCCTCATGCCTGTAATTCCAGCACTTGGGGAGGCTGAGGTGGGCAGACCACCTGAGGTCAGAAATTAAGAGACCAGCCTGGCCAACATAAAACCCCATCATGATAAGAAACTTTTGGGGATTAAAAGAACTTGTTCTAACCCAATGCAAAGAAACTAAGAACTTTGAAAAAAGGTTTGACGAAATGTTAACAATAACACAAAATTTAGAGAGTAATATAAGTGAATTTATGGAGCTGAAAAATACAACACGAGAACTTCGCAAACTATGCACAAGTTTTAACAGCCGAATTGATCAAGCAGAAGAAAAGATATCAGAGGTCGAAGACCAACTTCATGAAATAAAA